ATTGAAAAGGTAAGCACAAGACAGAATAATAATTACAAAATAGAGTTCTTTCTGTTTTATATTCTTTTGGTAGCGGGGATTGAACCCAGGGGCACTGTACCACTGTGCTATGTCCTCAGCCCTTTAAAAAAAAAAATTAAGTCAGGATCTCTTCAAGTTGCTATGGCTCGCTTGCAACTTGTGATCCTCCTGCCTCAGCCTCCCTAGTTGCTGAGATTACAAGCATGTGCCATCATGCCCCACTATGCCTGACAAAGTTCTGTATAAAGAACTACACCAAACATATAAGGACCACTGTAGGCAAAGCATGTCACAGGTACCTCTCTGTCAGTAAGAGAAATATAAATAGCCAATAGACATTTAAAAATTCTCACCTTATATAGTAATAAAAGGAAATTCAAATTAAAACAACAGTGAGATTATTTATACCTTAAATCTCAAGTGTGAAGAACTTTGATGGCCTCCAGGCTTATGACAGAGGGAGGGAGCAGGCACTCAGCATGTATTTTGGTGTTGTGTATTCAAGGATAAAAATATCCACACAAAAAATTTCTGCTTATACCACTGATCCAGCCTTCCAGATACATACTGAAAAAATTCTTTACTAAAAAATGAAATAAAAGTAAATTTGCATCATCATGGGACTAAAAAAAAGACATCAGCAAAATGAAACTACTTGAAGTCTCCTTTTAAAAATGAGTAGGATTTATATTCCCTGAGATGCCCATATTGTATCATTGGGTAGATTAAATTAAAGAACAGTATGTATAGAACATGCAGATCATATGGGATAATCATACTTATTGGCAAAAAAAAAAGTGTGTGTGGACAAAGGAAAAATAGTACCCGTCAAACAGTAATGAGTGAGAGCAGTGTTGACAGTTTTCCCTATTTTATGAGCAGTTTCTGTATTGCTTATACTTTTATGTGTTTTCCTTTTTTCAATTAAACTTTTAGAGAAATTTTGGGTTCACAGTAAAATGAGAGGCAAGAACAGAAAGAGCTCCCTATGTCCTCATTCCCCCACCACACCGTCCCCTCACCAGCTGCATCCTACATCACTGTGGTATGTTATAATCAATGAGCTTCCATCAACACGTCATTATCATCCAAAGGCCACAGCTTTCGTTAGGGCTCACCCTTGGTGTATATCAATGGGCTTAAACAAATATATAATGACGTATGTCCACCATTATAATATCACACTGACGTATGTCCACCATTATAATATCACACTGAATAGTTTTACTGCCCTAAAAATCCTCTGGGCTCTACCGATTCATCTCTGCTCCCCTCTAACCTTTGGCAAACACTGATCCTGTTAAGTGTCTGCCAAGCTTCGTCCTTCCTAGAGTATCTTATTGTTGGAAATCACACAATAAGTATGGCTTCCTGCACTCATGCATTTGAGGTTCCTTCATATCGTTTCATGTCTTGAAAGCTCATCTCTTCTTAGCACTTTCCAATATCCTGTTGTCTGGATGTACCACAGTTTATTTTTCCATTTGCCTCCTGAAAGAGATCTTGGTTGCTTCCAAGTTTTGGCAATTATGACTAAAGCTGCTATAAACATCTATGTCTGGTTGTTTGTGTGAATATACATTTTCAAGTCATTTGGATAATTACCAAGGGGTATGATTGTTGGGCTGCATGGTAAGAGTATGTTGTTTAGTTTTGTAAGAAACTGTCAAACTGAGGCTGGGGCTGTAGCTCAGTGGCAGAGCACTTTCCTACCGTGCATGGGGCACTGGGTTCGAACCTCAGCACCACATAAAAAAAAATAAAATAAAGGTATTGTGTCTACCTACAACTAAAAAATAAATATTAAGAAAAAGAAACTATCAAACTGTCTTCCAAGTGGCTGCACCATTTTACATTCCCATTTTACATTAATGAATGAGTGTTCCTTTGACTCCATGTCTTCACTAGTACTTGGTATTATCAGTGTTTTGATTTTTGGCTATTTAATAGGTATATAATAGATATAATGGTATCTAATTGTTTTAATTTACAGTTCCCTACTGACATATGATCTTGAACATCTTTTTATATTTGCCTATTTTTAATAGGCAAAATTATTCACTTTCTTATTCCTGAGTTTTAATCACTCTTTATACTTTATAACTGTCCTTTCTCAGATGTGTGTTCTGTAAATATTTTCTCCTAGTCTGTGGCTTGTCTTCTTATTCTCCAACATTGTTTCACAGAGCACAAATTTTAGTTTGAATACAGTTAGCTAGTTGGTTATTTATTTCATGGCTCATGACTTTGATGTTATATCTAAAAAGTCATCTCTGTACCCAAGATCAATTATATTTTTCTCTTATGTTATCTTCTGGAGTTTTAAGATTTTTTACTTTTTACATTTAGGTCTACTGATCCATTTTAAGTTAATTTTTGTGACAGGTCTAAGATCTGTGCCTAGATTCTTTTTTTTTTTTTTTTTTTGGCAAATGGATGTCCAATTGTTCCAGTGGTATTTACTGGAAAGACTTTTTTTACTCCATTGTAGTGCCTTGATTCCTTTGTGAAAGTTCAGTTGACTATATTTGTTTGGTATATATTTTACTTTTATAACCAGAATAAAAATATGGTCTTCAGAAAATTATTTTAGTGAGGCAAATTCCATAAAAGCATATAGAAAACAAAACAATCCCTATTTTTACTCCACATAGATCACCAGGCATAAACCAGAGCAGAGGGGTTGATGGATGGCAAGCTCATCACAAGCAAGGGTCTGTGTATACAGGAATGTCAGAAGACAAACCCACATCAGAACGTCAGGTTCTGAGGGAGCTGAGGCAAGATGGAATATAGGGTCAATGTTGGTCAATTTTGCATTGCTGTGACCAAAATACCTGACAAGAACAATTTTGAGAAGGGAAATTTTGTGGGGGGCTCATGGTTTTAGAGGTCTCAGTCCATAGATGGCTGACTGCTTTGCTCTGGGCCTAAGGTGAGGTAGAACATCATGGCAGAAGGGGATGAGGGATGCACTGCAGTATTCATGGCAGCCAGGAAGCAGAAAGACAGAGTGAGGAAGGGACCAAGGGGAAGATGAACCCTTCCAGGTTATGCCCTGTGACCCATGTCCTCCAGCCCTGCCCCACTAGTCTACAGTTACCACCCAGTCCATTCTCACTAGAATGGACTGATTAGGTAACAGCTCTCACAATCCAATCCCTTCACCTCCAAACATTCCTGTGTTAACAGGAGCTTTGGAGGACAACTCTTATTCAAATAATAACAGGGTCCCAGTAACACAACTGGGATTGGCATCTAAGATTACTAACCCAAGTAGAAAGAAAGCAGGAAGGGACTCCAGTCAGGTAGATTTGCACAAGTGACATAGTGCTCATTTGGAAACCAAAGGTGACTGTTTTCTGTTTTTATATGCTCTCAGGCACTGTGGGAACAGTTGAAGCTGAGGTGAGCCAAGGCTCTGTGGGTAGTGGTTGCTGTTGGTGTTGGTAAAAATGGCTGGGATTGCTTCCCAATCAAACTTTGTTCCTATTTCAAGTCATGGGTCATTAGACACTTTTGAATATGAAACAACGGCAGAGTGTTCTGGAATGTAGTGTCTTTGTTGTGGCTCCCTTACAGATTACCTATATTTCTAGGAACTAGCCCAAACTTGCCTTTATTTACCCACTAACCTTCCCAGTTTTTATTGAGTATGCTAAGTAAGTAGGTTTCTAAGCTATGTGCAGTGTGTGTTGGTGGAGGTGAGTACTGAAGGCAATTTAGACTCAGTTCCTTAGCCCAAGACACTCTCAGCCTCTTCATAAAATAAATAAGAATGAAAATCATACAGTCAAGGCAAATGTGATAACTTAGAAGCATTGAAGGTAAAGCATAAAGGTAAAGGTTTTAACTCTATTTGCTTACTGACTCTTTGATCTGAGACAGACTACATTGGAGTCAGTTTTTGCATTGGCTTAATATATATTTTAAAACTACTGTGCCTGGTATAAGATGTCAAATACTAAAGAATATTGCTGTTATTATCAAAGTGCTATAGGAGAAATATAAGGAAGGTGCAGTACAGATTCAATGGTCTTTTTTCACAAATAGGAAAATAAGAATGACAATATCTCAGGATTACGGTGATGATTATAAATAGTCTTTTCCTTCAAATTACTTTAGGATATAAAGAATAACCATTGCTGAACTCTACTAGTATTGCTAATAAAAATGGAAGCAATCACCGATTACTCTTTTAAAAGACAAAATGGATCTGATTCAAATGTATGATATGTCAAGATCATTGTACTGTCATGTGTAACTAATTAAAACAAGTTAAAGAAAGACAAAATGGTTACATTTTGGGGTGCAAAGAGTAAATTTCTTCATAAAGAATACTCAGTAAGATTTTGTTGTCTTATGAACCCCTAAATTTAGGAGTCTTATGAATTTGGGACCTTGATATATTTCTGGTCTACAAATTTGTTTCTCCCTTACTATAAAACCTTTCTGCAACATATTTGGAAGTAGAAATATTTCCATATTTGTGTGGGAAATAATAGCAAATTTATGTCCAGATGTGCTTCCAATAGAGAAAGGGGTTCAACCCTGTTCTAAGAGTCTGAGAGCAAGGGTCTTGGATAATAATATCATCACAAGCTATAGTTCCTGAAACACTCTGAGCCATCAGATCTTTCACCCATAGCAAGACCTACAGTCTTAATCTGGCATGATCAAGGAAGAGTTGGTACCAGTTTATCCTCCACTGGGCCTGAACTGACCCAAGACAGCTCTAGACTCACCTAACCCCACCTCAGTGTGGCCTTAGCAATGGATGTGGTTGTCCAGTCAATAGAACAGACTTCACTTGGTGGACTTTATGTGGTGAGGGTGATATTAAGCTCTATAAACATTGCACATAGCCGGTATTGTACCAGGCAGGCTCTGCCATGAGGTAGCTTATGATCCTATCGCTTTGCTACTTCTGCTGTGGAAGTCTTGCTCCTTCAGCCTTGTGCTTTGTGCTTCATTTCCAGAAGATTCCACAGCCAACAAAGATTCTGGTCAAGAGTCTGAGTCTATTCCAGAATATACAGCTGAAGAGGAACGGGAAGACAACCGGCTGTGGAGGACAGTGGTGATTGGAGAACAAGAGCAACGGATTGACATGAAGGTCATCGAGCCCTACAGGAGAGTCATTTCTCACGGAGGTAGTCATGCTGTGTGTGAATCTGGGAAATGGGGAGGGGTGGCCATATTTTTAAATGAGAAATAAATAAAACTAGGATTCTCTGTAACATGACATCCCAAAGACACCCTGTTCTGTAGTCTGTGTTCAGGTAACAGAGAGTTAAGTGTGTTACGTTATCCTCTATCCACTAAAAATTTGAAAGTCTACTATGGCAAAAAGCAAAAACAACAACAACAACAAAAACTTTTCAATGTAAAAAAGGTCTTTGTGTGCCATGTTATAATCTGTCCAAATTTCTCAGAAGCCATAGTTGTCCAATGTCTTAATGTCTGTTTGGAATTCCTATCAACAGTGTTGAACTGAATAGCTTATAGTGTGTAATACCATGTCCTGTAGTAAGACCTGGTGGAACTCATTTCTATAAAATGCCTTTTGAATTCTCTTCAGAAGCTTCTGGGAATCTTTTTAGACTCAGCCTGGTACTTTATTTCCTCCTACCTAGAGTTTGCTTTTCAAATCTAGGTCCAACAATTTCTAATTCCTGTGAATGCTTCCACCTGCTTAGTGAGGGACCAGGAAAGGGGAAAGCATATTTTGTATTTTCAGTGCTTTCTTGAGGCCTGTAGGGGCATAAGAGCCTTGATTAATTTGAGATTCAAAAAAGTCAGAGGAGCACAAGCAACACATTGAACATTGTCGACTTCAGAAAACATCCATGGCTTTTTGATTTTTCTAATGCATGTATTCCTTTCCCGCAGTCCTGAGGTGCCACTGTAACCAACCAGCTGGTCCAGAAAAAGTGCAAGCTAACAAGACAATTGCTGCTGTCTATGTTCTCTCTTCCTCAATGAGGACAGGGAAATAAGAGTCTTGGCACTGAATTAAATCCGCCACATTTATTTTATAAAGAACGTGAGGACGTTTTGTTATTTCAGTTAAACATTCTTCCATCAGTAGAGCTTTCCCTTTCTGTCCCATGCACTGCCACTTCTTATAAGTACCAGTACCATTCAGGGAACCCAACTGTGACAGTGATGGAGAATGCCAGTCGGAGCCCTTGGCCATGCCCCATGTTTGCCTTGCCTCTCTTGAAATGGCAGTATGCCCCTGTGGTAGCTGCTGTGGGGCCAGGGACGGTGGTCTTGGAGAGAAACCTGTCCCATACCTCTGGGGGAATGAAGGCTGGCCTGATCCTGCTAAGTGACAGACAAGTGACCTTATAGTAAACCCTTTTGTTTTTAGGGTGAAAACCACAACTGAAACACTCTCGAAATCTTCTCAGAGAGTCATTCCTCCTTTGTGCCACCCATAGGGTATTTTGGATTTGTTTGCTTTTGGGCAATGAAACAAAGGCTGACTATAAGTGTGGCCTATGTTTATTCTTTAAAAAGGATAGAAAATGCAGGAAAGTCTGTCAAAGTAAATCAGTCACCCCGTGATAATCCCGGTGACGTTTACCCCCTCGGCTCTTAAGGTCCTCGTGTTGTGATGAAGGCAGGCTCTGATGTTGCTGTCCTCGGCTGAGTTCTTTCTCAGTTCCCCAGCAGAATCACCTATTTGTCGACTCCTGGGAAGTCAAGTGGGCTGGGTGGATGGGTTAAGCCCATCGACCTGGAGCCTAAGTCAGGACAAAGTGATTAACAGCAGTACCAAGATGGTCGGGAGGAGCCACTGCCTCTGCCTGTCACAGCTTCTAGAAACTCACCTGAGACCTTAGGGCTAACCTGGTTTGCTGAGCTTTCTGTGCCTGCCACCTCCTGCCCTTGGCATTTCCTCCCCTCCATTATGTGTGGCAAGCTTGATTTTGTCTGTGTGACTGTGCAGTTTGTTTTGAAAGGAAGGGTGCCTTTGCTCTCCCTGGCTTTACCTCAGCCTCCTCCAGGCACTGACCTGCATGAACGTGCCTCTGGCTGCTCTCATCCGGTCCATCAGCAAGAGACCACCTTCTTACATGCTCAACTGCTTTTGTATCCTGTAGGTAAAGAGTGTTTGGATGTTACTTCTGAATTTGCCAAAGACTTGTCTTCCATATTGGAAACTTAGATCCCTCTCTCAGATCTTAGATGACAAAGCTTCTTGGTTACCTATTTCTTGAGTTTGTCATCCTGGCTTCTGATGAGCATTTAAAAAGCAGACTCCTCAGTGAGCATGAGCCTTGTTCTGGAGCTTTGCCTTTTTGGTATGAGGCCGTTTTCGCCCTCTGGTCCTTAGGGAACTGTGGACAGTGTTCTGTGTGGTACATTGGAAGGGGAGTTGGCAAAAGAGTTGCAGAAGCTGGCCCCAAAGTCCGACACTGCCAGGTGCTCCCCGTGGGTTGGAACAAATAGTTCAGTCTTCAGCTTTGGCGACTTTGATATGAGCTGTTGTCATAAGTCCTGTACACAATGCAGACCTGTGAGTTTAAGGCCTGTCTTTGCCACTTAGTGACCTCTGCCTCTTACCAGTCATTTACTTCCTCTGGGCTTCAGTTACTTCACCAGTCGAATTAAGGTGATCACAACGCCAGTGTTCACTTCCTATGATCCCAGAAACACTATCCCTGCCACCTGCTTAAATGGGGGGAAAAAAAAAGCAAAAAGTGTTATAATTAGTTTTGCTCAGTCAAGGGCATGGGGTCATGTGGAGGCCAGAAGTGGCTTTTTTCAACTTAGAACAGAGAACACATTTAAATAACCAAGGACAATCACACCAAAGAATTTTAACAAGGAGTTTCCTGTTTCCTTTCTTGTTCTTTTTTTTTTTTTCTTTTATTTCATTATAGGAGACTCAGGTAACCTTCTCTGCAGTGTTGCTGGACAGATGATCCTGGAAAGAATGCGGAGAAGAGTTGCTGGCTGGTGTGTGTGTGTGTGTTTGGGTTGTGACTGTGACGTCTTTCCTTCTCTCTCCATTCCATTTGCTGGCCAGCAAACTTGTGTTACACCCCTTTCATGCCTGTCTGTGCCACCTCAGGTAAGGCTTGCATAGCCCAAGGAGGCTCCTTGGTGGGGTTGTTCACGCCCCCACCACATGTACCCTGTCTACCTCATGTTTATAAGGAAGAGAGTCTGACAAAGTAAATATTTTAAAAACCAAACTCCATATAAGTTATGCTGTTGCCAAGAGGCAACTTCACCTGAAACTCTGCATAGTTTAGGATAGAAATTTACCCAGGAAGCCTCTGGAGTGGGGGCGGGGGCAATGAGCAAATGATCCCACTCATTTTAGTTATTGCACTTCGCCAGCAGGCATTACCCAAAGTGTTCCCTGAAGCCCAATGATGATGACTCTTGACTTAGGAGGAAAACTTTCATGAGGAATGTTTTCCTTCTGCTTCCTTTTCTAAGTCACCTTCTCTCCTATTCTCTTCTTTTCCCATTTACCTCTTCTTCCCTTCTTACAGCAACTCTAACCTAAAGTATGAGCAACTATTTCTATTTGAAAAGTCCAGCAATATTTATATAAAGAAATATTCCTCACTTAGACTGTGATCATGAAGCAGTACACTGATCCCTCAGTGTTCCTTCCACTAAATGAGTTCTGGAGAGCACCATCTGTAGCATTCATACAGGGGCCTAATTGCCGTTTAAGATGACTTCTCAGCTACTATTTATAAACCCCCGTCTTTCTTCTTTTAAAAAAAATTGCTATATTGTGTACATATATGAATATGTAACAACAAATCCCGCTATTATGTATGATTATAATGCACCAATAAAAAATTACAATGTTGGGCCAATAAAAAAATACAGAAAAACAATTTTACAGAAACCAGAAAAAAGAAATCAAAATCAGTCATGACCTTGAAAATATTCTGATACCCTGGAGCCAGACAGCCCTATTTATAAAGATGTGTGTTTATTTGTTTTTTGGGTTTTTTTGTTGTTGGATTCATTATGTCTGTCTTCTCTTTTAATGAACTGTTTTTGTTGTGCTCAGTATAAAATGCATATCTTTGTGGTGTTAGCTAAATCACCATATCCTTCGTGGATTTCCATTGAGTAATGAATCCTCAGAAATGAAATTGGTAGAACAAGCTTTTCTTGATTTAAAATATATCTCTTTCTGCCATTTCCTTCATATTTGCATTTTGAAGATAAGTTGGTAAATGCCTACGTGTTAGAAAAGTTGGAACTAAAGCAAAACATCAGAAGGGAAACTTCTGTAATGCTCTTTCACAAACATGAGTTCCAGGGTGGCTGCTTTCATAGGTAGCATCTTGTAGAATATAACACCAGATACAGCAACTGCAAATTAGTAATTCTCACAAGCCCACAGCTGGATGTATTTTTGGTTGGTTTCGTTCTTCCCCGACCGCCTTGCAGTACAGTCATATTCTCTTTGTAGAGAACATCTTATTAAACTGCTTTTTAGGAGTTGTTTAACCCATCCAAATCTATACCCAGTCAGCATTTTATACCAGAGGAATATCTAGAATTCTGAAAAAATGCAACACTGAGTTTGAGAGGACCAATTCAGACATGAAGGTGTGTTCTGTCCTTCTCAAAACTCTGAGGGAATCTCTATTTCATGATTCTGTAGTCCAGAACTAGATGCTATTTAAATATCATTTAAATTGGAATATTAAAAAAAAGATAGGCTATTTTAAAAATAATAAGTCAAAAAAGTGTTGCCTAGGGCTGGAGTTGTGACACAGCAGTGTAATGTGTGCTGAACATGTGTGAGGCCCTGGGTTCAAGACTCAGCACCCCCCACCCAAATGACAATACAGGACATCGCTTCCCAGTTTCGGTGTTGAAGATGCAATTTGCTCTATACTCCTGCCTACAGGGACTTGACAGACACCTGCCATGAATTTCAATGATGAACTCTAAGGGAATGAAAAGTTTGCTTAAAAGACAGAACAATGCCAAAATGATGTCAGATCTCTCAAAAGACAGGAATAGTATCTTGAGATGTGTCTACATGTTCCTTAGCCCTTGAAGTATCTCTCAATGGCCACACGGACTTCCATTGAGCATCTCCTATTTCCTCAGCATCACCTACACACAGCACTTCCCCACCCTCACCATCTTATTATTAGGAAGTAATTCTCAAGTTTTCCCAAATCACTTATTTTTATGAAACTCAAAGAGAATTTAGCCAGGCCCTTCTT